AAAACATGAAAATCTGAAAGGTTTTCTTGCCCCAAATTATACAAACATAATGTATCAGTATACATTATGTTTGTATAATTTGGGGCAAGAAAACCTTTCAGATTTTCATGTTTTACCTTTTCTGCATGTCTGCTTATCTTTTCTGTGAAAAGAAATTGCACACAAAGGTTCCACAAAGATTTCAATGATTTAGATTCCTACTTCCTGATTTATCAATTGATTTAGTCCTGCATGATAAACCAGTACAGAATTAATCTGAGTTAATCAGCATAAAAAGATTACACTCAAAAACGATGGGTAATATTATGCACAAAATATATACTTATTGTATAATCATATAGAAGATAATTTTGCACGCTTCATGCTAGTATTAAAAGGACCAATTGTTAAGCTAAAAGAAGTAGCATTATGTGCCAATAGTAATTTGGCATATGAACCAAAATGTGCAATTTAAATGGACGCTAGAAGCACACCTGCCTGACAAGAAAATTGTATAGAAACACATAGATGTTCTGCACTATTTATACTTTTTCACAACCAGAAACATAATTACCATATTTTTCAGACTATAAGACACACTCCTCCCCCCACAAAAAAGTAGGTGGAAATGTCTGTGCATCTTATAGAGCAAATATAGGCCTGTTTTTGGCCTCCCAACCCCACACACATGCCAGGGTGGGCAAAAATGGGCATGTTTTTGGCCTGCAGAGTGCTTCTGGATGTAAGGGAGGGCAAAACTAGGACCCATGGAGGCAAAAAATATTTTTTCTTGTTTTCCTCCTCTAAACTGAGGTGCGTCTTATGGTCTAGTGCAGGGTTGGGATTATACCGGTTCTCACCACCTATTCGCTAGAACTTAACTTTCTAAGCAGTTTGGAGAACCAGTTGTTAGAAGAAATTACTGGCCTAATCCTGTAAGGAAGGCAGGAAGGAAACATTCTGGTTGCTTACAGAAACTGCCTCTCTGTTAACCCTTATTACCATTCTTGGCAGTACGCCTAGACTTCCTGTCTCTGGAGCTTCTCTGGAGGTTTTTTTTTCTCCTTTGCTGTTACTTTGCTTGACTTTCTTAAAGGGGAAGAATTGTTTTAAGCTTTTTACACTGCTGTTGGGACTCCCCTGGAAATACTTCCAGCTCCCTGGAAATACTTCCAGCCGACATACTACTTCCATACTCCCCTGGAAATACTTCCAGCCGACATGCAATGATCAACATCTTGAAGAAATAATTGAATAAAGAAGCAGAGCTGCTGGAAAGAAGCTTTTAATGACAAGGAATCAAGATGAGTGACATTCAGCAAGGCTTCTTGGCTAGCTAGAAAGATTGACATACAAATGTGAGTTTACATACCCTTTCTGAGTTTTGGTCTAAAACTGTTATTGGTGAAGTTTAATTGCTTTTGGGGGCCATTTCTTCTGGGGCCCACCAAAATTTTTCCGCGGCCCACTGGTTGGCGACCGCTGGCCTAGATGATTGAGTTTTCATTAACACATTGCAATACATTTGGGGGGAGAAACCCCTGAAGTTACTGTGGCAGTAGTTGGTATATTCCAAAAACTTTCTGACTCTCTGCCTAACTAGTTTTTTATTTTCACTGATGAAGCTTCCTAGATGGGAAGCAAAACATCATAACAAATTTTGGTCCAGTTGCCATGAGTCAAACTTTTAGATACCTTTGGCCTGGATGTGTCTTCAGACTTATTGTTTGCCTTTAATTTTAATTTAGACTTTAATATTATTTTATGTACAAGTAGTTCTAAATTTACAACCATTCATTTAGCAACTGTTCAAAGTTACAGTGGCCCTGAAAAAAGTGACTTATGACTCGTCTTTACACTTATGACCAATAGAGCATCCCCACAGCCATGTGATAAAATACAGGCTCTTAGCAACTGGCATGTATTTATGATGGTTGCAGTATCCTAGGGTCATATGATCACCATTTGTGACCTTCCCAGCTGGCTTCTGTCAAGCAAGTCAATGGCAGAAGCCAGATTCATTTAATGACCTCACGATTCACTTAGCTGCAATGAGTGGCTTTAAGACGATGGCAAAAAATGGTTGTAAAATTAGGTGATACTAACTGCCTTGCTTAGCAACTGAAATTCTGGTCCCAATTGGGTCATAAGTAAAGGACAACTTGTATATATTACATTTTATTTTAATATCTTTAGTGACTATATAAATAAATAAACAGAATATAAATAACTTATAAGTTCAATCATCATCTGTTATGTTTGTCTTTTGCAGACTGGATTCCAAAGACCCCTAAGGATCCATGGGAACTATTATTTAATTTATATCGTGCCTTTATTATTTTTACAAAAAACTGAAGGCAGTAAACATATCCAATATTTCCTATTTTCCCCACAACAACCTGTGACGTAGGCTGAGAGAGAGTGTGACTGGCCCAAGGTCACCAAGTTGGTTTTCATGGTCAAGGCGGGACTTGAACTCACAGTCTCCTGCTTTCTTAGTCCAGTCCTTAACCACTAAACCAAACTGGCTTGGGATAGATTCCCTGGGACTAATGGGGAAAGAAACCCTGTAAAGAACTAAACTTTATTCCCTTATACCAGGGGCTCCAAATTCATGTCGTCACAGCGGCATCATGTGATGTATTGTAACTTTCTCCCCCTTCGTTAAACCGGACGTGGGCATAACCAGCATTTGGGCCACAAGTTTGTCAGTCCTGTCCTATACAGAAGCATTTCCCCCTTTTTTCAGTCCTTACAGAGATTAAATTTTTTCCCCCAATGGAGGATTGGGGGTGGGGGCAAGGACCTACTAATGGGTTGAAAGGAACCCTTGAATACATTCAGTCATCTGTTTCCACCTTGACGCTACTGTTCAGGGGCATCCATAGCAATTTTATTATATGTGAGTAGAAAGAGTGGAATTTGTCTGTTGATATTCAGAAGCCCTATACCTTTTGATTGCTTAAATCTGCACACCAAAAGAGTTTGAGCCTCTGGACTAGCAAGAATAAAAATTTGCCAAGTGACACGGCAGTGTTAAAATTTAGTCTAAATAAATACACCTATTTAATGCTACCAGTATAACAATGGCTCCGTGAAAATCCCATATGAAAAGTGTACTTCCAAAATAGGAATTAAAACAATACACAAAACCTATAGGATGGAGAGTTTCTTTTATATCGGGCGTCGCTAATAGTAAAACATGCCTGGAATAATCTTTACCTACAGTCAGTAAGATTAATCTTTCTAAAAACGTCTTGTAATATTTAGATCTCAATCCAAACAGAAGAAACCTAAATTTGAATCAATTATTTTTTAATCCATGGGAATTCTAAAGTGGATGGGGGAGAATAAATTTGATACAAAGTAAAGATAGTAAGGAGAAAAGCCCGTCTTTTGCTGTGAACAAAAGCGAGCTTAATTGTGTAACACATTAGTATTTACTCCCACATCCATCCTTCAGCAGCTGAACCAATTTCTTTTTGGCTCAGCTGCTTTATGCTTGAAACCAAAGTGAGGCTACTTTAATTGCTTGATATGATGCCCTTCTGAGGAGCTTGCACAGAAGCAGTTTCTACATGTCTGGAAATTCTTGTACCCTGGAAGTTTGGCTGCAGACATGCTAAAAGGTCTTTCAAAGAGCAGAGCTGGGTTGACTCCTCCTGCACCCAGAAACTGGCGCAGACTGCCAGTCAAAAAACTGAAAAAGTGAAATGAGGTGGATTGGGGGGTTAGGCACTGTAAAAAATCTTACCTCTCTTTATAACCTAGGATGCAGTTGGAAAAAGTGAAAAGCATTTCTGTACCCCTATCTCCCAAACTGCTGCACAAAATTAACCAAAAGGTCAATCCTGCTGCATCCTAGGATTGTTGGCAATAAGGACAACAGCTAATCAATTAAAACAGCTTTGGAGGGATTGGGAACCAGAGCTGATGGCAGAACTGTAGAAATATTTTCTACAATATTTTCTTTAAAAGGTATTTATTAGTAATTCTTCCTCTACTGATCTGAAATGGCCCTTTATAACTTGGGAGAAAAGATCAAGTATTGAGGCAGCTTCAGTTGTCCTTTCCCCCACTCCTGAATCTCTGGGACAAGGAGAATGAGAAGCAAGAGACTCTCCCCAGGCACTTTGGAAGAGGATTCTTGCAAGAGGCAGCTTACTCTCCAAGCCCCCAATAAGGCAGGATTTAGCCCAAAACATTGCTGTGAATCAGGGAAAGTCGGGGAAAGATTACGAGGAATTTACAGTTGCAGTTTCAATATAAATTTGGCAATAAGTCTGCCCTCTTGCTGCCTTTCAAGTGAAGCCGGTACCCTCTCGCACGCTGCCAAAGAGCGGACTTCGTGAATTTTACTTCTTTACAACTTAAGATTCAGTTGAATAAGTGAAAAGCACTCCTATTTATACTGACTCTGAGCAGGGAGATGCGGAGAACTGCTCTCCGGGATCTCAGGGCCCAACCACATCATCGGAGGAAAACGCGGATATGCGAGCAAAGTGTGGCGGTGCTGCCTTTGCTCCGAAGTAGACCGATCGAGCGCGAAAGCGAGCGGAGGTACCCGCAGCAACGACGGGATTGCCTTTGCAGCAATCGCGCAGCTTCAGACTCCTAATAAAGGAAAAGGCGTTAAGCAAAGCGACCCCTCTAACTGTATTAGCGCACTTGGGTTACAGCCGCCCCGGCAACGGGAATCTCGCAGGGCTCTTCTGAGTCCCTTCGCAATTCCTTCGCCGCACCCCTGCCAAACTCTGTGTTTTTCACCTTTTCTTTGGCCGCCCAACGGGAAGAGAGAGCTGCCGGCCTAGAGACTGGAGCTCAGCAGCAGGCGCCTCCGCCTCCCTCCGCAGGCAACCTCCGCCCTACTTCGCCTAGGCGGGGGATGCAACTCGGGCTCCTGGCTGCCCTTGACACCAATCCTTCGCCGCGGGAGCAACAGCAGCCGCAACAACAAAAGCAGGCGAGGACAGGTCGGGTGACCGCGATCTGCTTCCCGCTCCTCCTCCTCCTCCACCTCCGGATGAAAGCAGCCTCGGACCGGCTGCACAAAAGGCCCCTCAGCCGCCGCCTCCTCACCCTCCCTCTGCGGATCACGTCACGGGAAATAAATAAATAATCCCATTCACCCAGTGACAGGGAGCAGGAACCGGCGCGGCGGCGGCAAGCTTAGAGCCAACCCAGCCCAAGCTAGAGAAAGAGACAGAGAGACGAAGCCAGGTAACGTAAAAGAGATCCATGCAGTGGGTTCTTTTAAGGCAAAACCTGTCCCCCTTGGCGCAGCTTGGGAAAGGCGGCTGGGGTGGAAGCAAGGGGCGGTAGCAGCAGCTTCTGATCTGTTTATTTCTAGCCATGTGTGCCCGTTGCCTACCGCTTCGTGTTTCTGTCCTGTTCCTAAAACGCTGCTGACCTCCACTGTAAAGGAACCTTATAACCCGTCTAGCCACCGTTTCCCACCCCAGGCACGGAAGGCAGAGAAGAGTGTCCTTTTTGCCACCTCGCTGCTGCTGTTGTGGTTGGAGCGCGTTGCTTTGGATAGGTGGGCAAACCCTCCGTTCACCATGTGAATGTCTCCCTCACGGGCCGCTTTGTTAAGCGTACGTGGGGGTGAAAGCGGGAGATGCGTGGGAAAGGTTCTATTGAACCGTTGGCAAGCCGAAGGACTAAGGCTGCCGCAAAGTTGAATGCACAAACCAACCTTCAAATCTTACCACCTTCTCCGGCACTTGCAGAATTGCTTGCCCTTGGACAGGGGAGGTAACCGCACTAACTCCGCCTTTTATCTCCACCCATTTGATAGATGGCCACAGATGCCTCAGTGACTTGTGAAATTGCCAATCGCCCCTGTAGACAAAAAGATACACCTTAGGCCGCATACACGAGGATGCATGAGGAGACACGCACGTGAATCTTTTTTTCCCCCACCCCAGACATCCCGCTATGGGGCGATACGGGAGCCTAGCCGAGGACCTTCTTTTTTTTTTTCACGCCGAATGCCAGATTAACATCCTCCCACTTCCGACGCCGCAACATTTTACACCCAAATCCCCTGTGCTCGGAAACTAACAAAACCAGTTTTACCTTGCCACAGCCTCTAGCATTGCAATTAGTTTCCCTCCACCCGGGACCTAAAAGCAGCCATCTTGAAAGCAGTTCTAAATGGGACTTCAATCTACTGGGATAAGCACCGCAGGTTGTTTGGGGGAGGGTGACAAGGCCGGCGCACGCCGTTGGGTATACCTTTGGGACCAGTCCGTTAATTGTGCGCTGCCGCAGGACCAGGACTAAGGCGGGGATTGAGGCGGGGACAGGAACAGTCGCAGCATCACGCGTCCTTTCTCCGTATCCAGTTCATTAGAAAGTCCGGCCCTTTCCCCCTCCTCTTCAATTCCGGGAGTAACCGGTTAACCGAGATGGGCGGGGAGGTGTATATTTCTGTCCAGGCCGTTATGTATTGAACCCGTTTGGTTTTGCTTTGTTTTATTCCTATCACGTCCCAAGGTGGGTGGGTGGCAGAATCTCGGTGCCAGAAATCTTCGCAAACGTAGGATTTGGGCCACGATCGGGCCGTTCTTCTTTTCAGGCCCCACCTCGGACTTGGCCAATGGGAAACGCGTGGAGGCTGCCCAATGGAAGGGCACCGTCTTGATCCATCTGTGAGGGAGGGATGCTATGAGAAGAGGGCTTGGTTGACTTGCCGTCACCGGTTGGTTCTTGCTGGTTTGGAAGCGATCTGAGGCCACGTGGAGGGCCGCTGAACAGCTGGGATCGCTGTCAGCCAAGGGACATCAAGGGCATGTGGGGCTACCCGCTCATAGAAGGCGTTTCAATGCTACCCTTCCCTGGGGAAATTGTTTAAAGTACTACTTTTTAGGTAAAATGTGCTGGAGCTGTCAGAAAAGTGAATTGTCCTGTTTTTGGAATTTCTCTCTCTGTGTGTGTACGAGGAAGAAGGATGCGTTTTGTTCCTGTGTGTGTTACTAACAGGAAACACTCTGGTATATGTTTATGACATCTTTTGTGACAATTTATGATGGCACAAGTACCTCACAACCATTAAACCTGTGTTTAAAATATCAGTGAAAGAAGAAATAGGCAACATTTGTATTTTATTTAAATTTCAAGCAAAGTCCAGCCATATTGCATGATACAGATATTTTTAATGAAAGCTCCCACTCCATGAGCACTTCAAATTGCACATGCACAATTCATTTTGGTGAATTCTTAGGCCAAATCTTTAACATAAGTCTTCCTTACCTTTCTTGAAGTATTTCAATACTACATTTGGTATCCTGAAGTACTGTAATACCACATCTTGCCACGCCAGAGATAAAACCACTCCTATTCATGATGTTTCTTCAAGGGATTGTTCCAATAATTAAACAGGTTAATTTATAAGTTTCTTTCATCATTTTTGTTTCTCAGTGGCCTGCATCCTCTATATGAGTTACCAGTTCTTTATTTAATGGTGAAGTGCACTTAGGACATTGTTAGTGACTACCATTAAAAGGTTACATTAATCAGTGCAACTAATTGGTCAATAATGTAAGCTTCACATCTACTTTTGTTTATTTTAGAATAATCAAACTAAGTAGAAACTCTGTATAGTAAATAGGTATGATCCAAACCCCAATTCCTGCAGCCTGCCTACCAGTCCTTCATGTCAGAAGTCCAAGAGTCCAATTAACTTTGATATATATAACTTTTCAGCACAACATAATGTCCAATAGTTCCTAGTTTGTGTGAATATGGATTTTAAGTACAAATCCAAGTGTTGGCAGACTGGAATAGCAATTGCTCTCTAAGTCCCACCAAATATTTTTGATCAACTAGGGACTGTATTTTCTTGCATATTGCTTAATAGTTATAATTGTTCAATAATTTTTCATATTTCTATATTTAAATGAACATTTCTACTTTGTCCATTATATTTCATCACATTGACATATAGCATTCAGCTTTCATTGACATATAGCTTTCCAGAACTTATCTTCCCATTTCCACCAAACCTGCTCCTTTAAAACTTTAACTTTTTCCATTTTTAAACACTTTTGAACTAATAGTATTACCATACCATTTGCTAAATTCTTAGTGTTGTATGTTACTGTTACCATGTTCTTAACATGTGTAAATATGTAGCTAGTTTTGTGAATCCCAGTAAAACTTTACAAATTAAGTATCAAAAATTTGAATCATAGCAACTGGACCAAAATTTGTTAAACTGAAAAGTTTCACTTCCCATTCAGGAAGCTTCATTAGTCAAAAAAAAAAAAAGGCAGAAAGTCAGTCATTGGAATGTACCAATTATTGCCACACCAAGTTCAGGGGTTTCTCCCCAAAATGTATTATGTCAATGAAGACTCAATCATTCAGACCAAAGGTATCTAAAAGGTCATGGCAACTGGACCAATATTTGTTAAATTTTTGAGGAGAACCCCCGAAACTGATCTGACAAGAGTTGGTACATTCCAATGACTCTCTGATTCTCTGCCTAAGTAATTTCTTATTTTGACTGATGAAGCTTCCTGGATGGGAAGCTAAATGTCTCAGTTTAATAAATTTTGGTCCAGTTGCTATGATTCAATTTTTTTTTAGATACCCTTGGGCTGGATGACTGTCTTCATTGACACTTTACAAGCTAAGGGTACCATGAGATGTTCTACTTACCTGCTTTCCTAGTCTGGAAAGAAAAAAGTCTGAAAAAGGAATAGAATAGAGTCAACACAATAATAAAGGGATAGAAGGCAAATCCATTGGCAATTTATTAAATGGCAAGAAACCTGGGAAGAAATATTTCACATCATTCAAAGAAAATCCATCTCAATGAACTTACTATGAATGAGGATTGGCCAACATTAAAGATATCTTACTGACATCTATATAGCTACTGCTTCCTTGATCTTGTCCCGTGCATACTTAGTGAATGCTTCAGGTCAAATATCTAAATTTATCATTATGGATAGAGCCATGGTGATGCGGTAGTTAGCATGCAGTATTGTAGGCTAATTCTGCTGACTGCCAGGAGTTCAATCCTGAGCAGTTCAATGTTGACTTAGCCTTCCATCCTTCCTGAGGTCAGTAAAATGGGAACCCTGATTGTTGGGGGCATTATCAAAGTCCTTATAGTCACTGAATCTCTTACAGACTTTAGAACAAGAGACTCAGTGACTATAAGGATTTTGATAAATTGAAACAAAGGAATAAATTCATGAATTGCTGGGAATGAAAATCATTCTGGGAGAAATTCCAGGTTATTTGGTTTTACTTAAAGCTGTTAACTTAAATGCTGTTAAGCCATGCTTTAGAAAGTATTAAAATTATCCTGATGTATATATAATATATAATATATATAATGTATAATCAGATTATTTGGGGATTGGGAATGTTTTGGTTGTGTCAGTACTCAAAAAGGGTTTGAATTTGCTCATATAAGTATCCTCATGTTTTGATTGATTAACAAAAACATTGGCAGTCAGGTAGGTATTTGTCTATATCTGCAGTTCCATGAAAGTAACTACTTTCAAATTGATCAATATAGGAAGTAAATCAACAATTAGATTCTGACCTTTTCAGGGCTCTTTTCTTGTGCCTAACAATCTTTGTATTGGTTGTCTTTTCCAGACTAGAATAGATTATTTAGTGAAACTGTCAGGAAATGTCAGTGAAAGCCTGCAGTGCCAGCTAACTGCAAGAGAACAGAGATAGTGTATCTGAAGTCTATTATTACCTTTTATTAGAATTCAGTTAGAACTGAATAGAAAATTTTATTCAGTTGGCTTGTCCATATGCAACTATTGCTGCTCAAGACAAACTATAGTAAACTATACAAGTTATAAAGGTTGAACATGATTCCGTGATGGTCTTTGAGAATATGCTGTTGAGAATAGCACTTTATTATAGTGGGTTTTGTTCAAGCTATTTCAAAGCTTATTGGAGTAATTTACACTTTAATTATATACTTCTACTGTCAGGGTTCTAGAAGAACCCAACTCCAGTTAACTCCAAGACAGACATTTTCTCAAAGTTTCCTTTTATTAGAGTAGGTATAGTGGCACATCTGGGAAATCCCAAATCTGAAAGTTTCGGGTTTCCCTCCAATAAGTAAAAAATTACAAATCCACCCCCTGCACCCATCATTCCATCACATGCCTCAATCACCATCTGTCCCAACTTGAGACATCCCCCTTAACCACTCCTCAGCCGGGTGCAGGAATAACATG